TCAGAGGTCACAATGGCTATGTTATTCTTTTTTTTTTTAATTTTAATGAAGGCAAATATTATTACTCAATTATTTTAGTTTCTCTTTTCTTCTCATTTCTTTTTTCTTTTTCCTAATCCCTCATATTTTTACCATTAAACTATATAAATTACAAAATTAAGTAACCTCTCTGATATGTCTAGATTTTTAATGCAGCCTACAAAAGCAAGCAAAAACTGAGAGGTAAATAATAAATGATGAATATATGATTTACTACATTACAGTATAAAGGATTAGCACAATTTGCTACCAGAAGAAAAATAGCGTTCTGGGAGAGACCACTTCATGTATGATTTTGATGCTGTGGTTTAACATAGAGCCCTTCCCGTTCTCTCATGCTTTTGCTAGTATGTACCATTGACAGTTAGGTTGGCAGACATTTGCTCTTCCCCTGCAGGATTTGAAGCCACACATGTATAAGTCCCTTGATGTACCCCTCGAACTGGATCTAACGTAAGGATGCTGGACCGCCCTATGTAGTCAATCTGTATTTCACTGCTCGATTCCAGTGTGACCCCATTGAAGATCCAAGAGAACTGAATGGGCTGATCACCCTTTTGCAGAACACAGTTGGCTTGAGCAAAATCTCCCTCATAGAAAACCGACTCACCGAAGTCTATTGGTATTAAATGAGGGCGTTCTGGAATGGGAACATTTTTTGTCTTACTTTCCATGGTGTGCTTATAGGTGGAGGAACAAGGAGATGTGAAGGATAGTGAAGGGACATACGGAGTCCATCTCCCAACATTTAACACCATGAAAAACAGCAAATTATTATCTTTTAAGCTCCCTTGTGTTGTACAGCCCATATCTCAGAGGTCACAATGGCTATGTTATTCTATTTTTTTATTTTATTTTAATGAAGGCAAATATTATTACTCAATTATTTTAGTTTCTCTTTTCTTCTCATTTCTTTTTTTCTTTTTCCTAATCCCTCATATTTTTACCATTAAAACTATATAAATTACAAAATTAAGTAACCTCTCTGATATGTCTGATTTTTAATGCAGCCTACAAAAGCAAGCAAAACTGAGAGGTAAATAATAAATGATGATATTATGATTTACTACATTAAAACAGCAACATAGAGTCTGACCCTCTTATGATATGAAGCACTTAGGCAATGCTTAATTAATGTTTTCAAGTAGTTCAGTGAACAAAATGCAATCATAGGGAATACAGAAGTAATGATCATGTCATCTGCATACACCTCAAACTTCCAGTATAAAGGATTAGCACAATTTGCTACCAGAAGAAAAATAGCGTTCTGGGAGAGACCACTTCATGTATGATTTTGATGCTGTGGTTTAACATAGAGCCCTTCCCGTTCTCTCATGCTTTTGCTAGTATGTACCATTGACAGTTAGAGAGACGGTGACTTCAGCTTCCCCTGCTGCATTAATGGCAGTACAGCTGTAGTTGCCCTGATGATGGGCTCGTACAGGATCTAGTGTCAAGATACTTGTTCTGCTGCCAACACTAACAATAGTTGTGTCATCTGAGTTAAAAATTTCTAACCCATTAAATTTCCAAACAAATGCCACAGGACGGTCGCCTTTCCGAAGTACACAATTTGCTTGTGCCAGATCACCTTCATAAAAGGCTTCTGCTTCAAAGTCTATAGGTAAGATTTGAGGAGGTTCTGCAAGAAAAAAAATATTTTCATTGTTTTCTGAATCTAAAGGGGAGGAACAGGGAGATAACGCAACTAACCACCAGTGGAGTCAGAAAAGCCATTTCACAGAACCTATTAGGTTAGTACCCTATATCCATGAGCTTGATAAAGTTCCTCTGTGTACCATTGACAATCATTTCTGCCTCTACTTCAGCAGTTCCAGCGTCATTTTCAGCAAAACAAGAGTAGACACCCTGGTGTTGTGCACCCACAGGATCTATTGTCAGGATACTGGTCCTGCTGCCCACGTAAGATTATTGCATCTGTGGTGACAAGTGAGCTTGATAAAGTTCCTCTGTGTACCATTGACAATCATTTCTGCCTCTACTTCAGCAGTTCCAGCGTCATTTTCAGCAAAACAAGAGTAGACACCCTGGTGTTGTGCACCCACAGGATCTATTGTCAGGATACTGGTCCTGCTGCCCACGTTAAGAATCTGTATTGCATCTGTGGTGACAAGTTCTACACCATTGAGTAGCCACTTGATGGTTAAAGGAGGGTCACCTTTACGTAGTACACAATTGACTTGTGCCAAGTCTCCCTCGTAAAATGCCTGAGATCCGAAGTCTATTGGTATTATCTGAGGAGGTTCTGTAATAAAGTGCAAATTTGATTTTGAATTTTCAAATGCTACTGTGTTTGTACACATATAAGGAACAGGGAGAGAATAATACTTATCCATGGTAAAGAAGCAGAAATGCCAAATTCAAAAAATTTGTAGAACCTGTACCCCACATACACGATTTCCAAAAAGATCCGCTGTGTACCATTGACAATTATAGTTGT